GGCGACAGAGTGAGACTCCGACTCAAAAAAAAAACAAAAAAAAACTATCCTCAAAATGAAGGTCCAAAATAGAAACGCACAATCTCAAGATCAAAAAGGACAATGTAATATCAGTTATAACATGACGTTATTAAATAATTGCCTGCCGACTCATTCAGATGTTGTCTTTATTGTCTGTATTTATTTGTGTTCGGCATACATGAGGATGAAGACAGGAAAGGAAGTTCTGTGGTTCTTACCATCTTCACTTGTGTATGATTTCCTCCTCTATTTTTTCTTCCTTCCTGGCTTTCTATATTGCCTAATGTAATCTGTTGATGGCGGCAGTAAATCTTTGGACCATAAAGTGAAGGTTTGCAACTACTCCAGATTTGTTTTGGGTCTTAACTGGGAAGCCAGCACTTGCCAAACTTTGTTGATTGTGAACTCTCTTCACTGCAACTGCCAAATTCTATTGTCAGGAGATCACCAGAATAACCTGTCATTAAGTAAAGTTGAGTTTCTTACTACATTAAGGGAGAATACTGCTTAGACATAATCTTAGTAGTGTCTTAGAGGGGAGATCAAGGGTGGTTTTTTTTTTTTCGGTTTTGTTGTTGTTGTTGTTGAGTTGGAGACTCACTCTGTGGCCCTGACTGGAGTGCAGTGGCTGCTCCCAGCCACCGCAGCCTCAACCTGCTGGGCTCTGGCGATCCTTCCGCCTCAGCCTTCCAAGTAGCCAGAATTACAGGCATGCGCTACCACACCCGGCTGATTTTCTGATTTATTGTAGAGATGAGGTCTCGCTGCCCAGGCAGGTCTCAAACCCGCGGACTCAGGCAATCCACTCACCTCAGCCTCCCAAAGGTGCGGGATTACAGGCTGAGCCACCGAGCCCGGCAAGGGTGTTTTTTTTTTATAGGATTCTGTAGTATGGTTGGAATGGTTTATGATAGTCTTTTCAATATGGGGATCTCACCAAGATTGAACTAGTTCATGGTATAATAGTTTGAGACTGGTACACCCAACAAAATGAAGCAATTGGGGACAGATTTGGCCCCTTTTTTTGACAAGGAAGGAGATTTGCTCAATTGAGTGATCAACTCAACTTTTCAGTGCCCAAGAAGGAAGCATTACAGTTAGGTAACTTACTGTTCAGACAAATGGGTTTTGGGGATGTTCCTAATGCTCAAAATGAAGGTCTTTGTCTTTGAGGGGAAGAATTTCCTGGAACAAATAGTAAAATCAGGTTGAATAATAACTGTAGAGCTCATGGTGATAATTAACCTACAAGCTACAGATATCTCAGTTCTCACTATATATGAAGTATTGTATGAGGAAGAGATTTTTTTTTTTTTTTGCGTTGGAGTCTCCCTCTGTCGCCCAGACTGGAGTGCAGTGGCCGCTCCCGGCCACCGCAGCCTCGACCTGCTGGGCTCCAGTGATCCTTCCGCCTCAACCTTCCAAGTAGCTGGAAATACAGATGCTCGCTACCACGCCCGGCTAATTTTTTTTTTGATTTATTGTAGAGATGAGGTCTCACCAAGTTACCCGGGCAGGTCTCGAACCCGCGGGCTCAGGCAATCCACTCACCTCAGCCTCCCAAAGGCGCGGGATTACAGGCTGAGCCACTGAGCCCAGCTGAAATTTTAAAATCTAGATTATTTTAAACCATTCTCAGTTAATATTCTTAAAACAGATTGAGCATGGTAGCTCACACCTGTAATTCCAGCACTTTGGGAGGCTGAGGCAGGAGGATTGCTTGAGCTCAGGAGTTTGAGACCAGTCTGAGCAACATAGTAAGACCTCGTCTCTACAAAAAATCAAAAAATTAGGCTGACATGCTGGTGTGTATCTGTAGTCCCTGCTACTCGGGAAGCTGACGAGGAAGGATTGCCTAGAGCCCAGGAGGTCAAGGACTAAAAAAATGTGTGTGTGGGGTGTGTGTGTGTGTGTGTGTTTCTATATATATTTATAGAAATTTATATTTTCTATATATATATATCCTTAAAACATATATATATATATATTTGTGTGTGTGTGCGTGTGTGTGTGTGTGTTGGAGTCTCACTCTGTCGCCCAGATTGGAGTGCAGTGGCCGCTCCTGGTCACCGAAAACATATTTTTCTTATTTAACAAGTGGTGTAACCTTTTTTTTCTGTAGAAAAGAGTAGGATTGCCAATACATTTTAAAATTACATAATTACATTTGTGGAGGGGCCAAATTTTATTTAAATGTGGCTTGAATTATGTGTATTAAGTGTATCCAAACTACTTTTTGTGACCTGTTTAGAATTTTTATTTTGTCATCCAAAAGACCACAAGGATAGCTAAATAGTAGAAAGGAAAGCTTTATTAGAAAATTGGTTTGCAAACCTGAAAAAGATAGTGTCCACCGTGGGCTGGAGGGTTTTTTTCTTCCAAGATGGAGAAGACAGGTTAGGTTTTATGCCTCACAGAAAACCCATATCACACAGTAGAGTCACACATATTCAGCAGGTTTGGGGAAAGGCTATACATATTTATGAGGGAAGCCAGAGCATTATGCAGTGCATAAACATAAACATGAACATACATGCCATGTTCTCTTT